CCTGACACTATCTTCATATTTTTGGATTCTTTTTTCGTTTCACTTTTCCGGATGGGTGTTTTTTGCTTCTTTGTATTTCAAATCTTTGACTTGATTCTTGCAATCCTCTAGTCTGCTGTTGGATCTCTGTATAATATTCTTTATTTCAGTCAGTGTATGCTTAATTTATAGTTGGTCCTTTTTCATATCCTCAAAGTTCTCACTAGATTTAAAAAGGGTCTCACTAAATTTATCAGAGGTTTCTAGAAAATTCTTGAAAAACCTTATAACCATGCCTTTGAACTCTATATCCAGTAGTTTGCTTTCCTCCATTTCTTTAATTTGTGACATTGTTTCTTTGTCTCCGCATTTGGCTGCTTTCCTGTGTTTATTTCTACGTATTGGGTAGCTACTAAGTCTCCTTGAGTTGATAGAGTGGCTTTGTGTAGTAGGTGTCCTATAGGGCCCAGTGGCTCAGCCTCCCCAATCACCTGAGATGGACACTCTTGGTGCACCCCTTTGTGGGCTTTGTGCACAGTTTTGTAGTTAAGCCTTGATTGTTGTTGGTATCACTGGGAGGAATTGACCTCCAGGCCAATTGTCTGTGAGAATCAGCTGTGTCGATGGTGGAAGAACTTCTGTGCTGGAGACACCCTTATGGGGCAAGACTTGCTTCAGTGGGGCTTTGGTGCTCAACGTCTGCCCGCTGAGTGTATCACTTATGGATCTTAGGAATTGTAATCTGAATGAATGGTCCCACTCTGACCACTGGGTACACTGGCACTTGGATCTCTATGGAGGTGCTAATTTAGCCTCTGCCTGAAGCTACCCAGCAGGAGCTACGGAGAGATCTGTAGATTCCCCTTCTTTGTTTGGGGTTTGGAAGTGCCCAGATGAGGCTCAGCTGTGAAGCAATGCAAGCTGCTGTGGGGCCTAGGCCTTCTTTTGGATGTTCTGGGTCTCTCTGACCTAGCTGCAGTTTGTTACGTAATTTAGGTTGCAAAGTGCCAGGTCATTCATATGCAC